CTGCAATCCGTTCCAGTAAACCTTGCGTCTGGATCGCATAACTCGATCGAAAAGATCAACTACGGTTCAAAAATCGGCGCCATTTATCAGGGAGTAGTAAAAGCACAGGTGGCCCAACCGTAATATGAGAGTTTGTATGGAAAAAATAGTTTGAAACTTAGATGAAATAAATGAAGCAAAAGTGATAAAAGTTTTCAATAAAGTGTAAATATTGTTACCTGGAGTCGTTGTCTTTGTTACGAAGTTTCAGCGCGATTTGAGTACTTTAACATCATCTGACCTGACAGTGTAATAATAAGAGACTTCTTTGTTTTCACTCGGCCAATGAACAAAGCAACAAAACAAAACAAAGAAGCCGACCTTGCTAGAAGGTGGGTGCGTAGGGATTGTCTTAACGAAGTAATGTCAGTACAGCCTTTCCCCGTGAGTTATTATTTGACGCTAGCGCCCAGTCACCGCCGAGCGACAAAACGGTTGAAATGTTACACATTTACTACTCACGGATAAATTGCGCCGATTTTTGAACCGTAGTTGATCTTTTCGATCGGGTTATGCGATCCAGACGCAAGGTTTACCGGAACGGATTGCAGGAAGGTGATCTCAAGGCATCACTTTGTGGATTCGGTGGCGTAAAATGAAAGTATGTTTGTTTTTTCGTGTGAACTTTGGAGCTGATTCTGAGCAGCTTTGAAGATCGATGGAGCGATTCTGTCCAACCTTGTCTCTTATTATTACACTGTCAGGTCAGATGATGTAAAAGTACTCAAATCGCGCTGAAACTTCGTAAAAACAAAGACAACGACTCCAGGTAACAATATTTACCCTTTATTGATAACTTTTATCGCTTTTACTTCATTTAATTCATCTAAGTTTCTAACTCTATTTTTCCCATACAAACTCTCACATTACGCCACAGGTCGCCCATATTACGCTTGGGCTACCTGTGCTAAATACACACGTCGGTTAAATAAGTAAATAAAGCGCGCGCGCATTAAAATTGTCCGCGCACACACACAACCTACTTCAACAAGAATACTGAAATAATTAAACTAAGAAAGGATATAATAGCGTAGGGCGCGAATAACGTCAGAGTGACTAATTTGCCATTTTTGTCTTTGTTTTGCCATTTTCCTCATTTTAATGACAAAAGACAGACAAACATGACATTTTAATGACAAAGGCCAGACAAAAGTGAGGAATTCGCTTATGGTAATTTCAATTTGTTTGTCTGAGTTTCTATACCAAAAAATGCCCCAGGATATGTTTCTTGGCATATTCAATTTTCGAAAGTTTTGGTTGAATGGAAAGCGGTCATATGCACAGACGAATGTGTCTTTAAGTCCGTTAGTAGCAAAAGTTTATTTAGTCAAACGGCAGTAATTTTTGCCGGGGGGACCCGTGATTAGCCAGGTGTCTACAATGCGAAAGTTAACTATCGCTGCTAACTCCAGGCTAGCCTGTTCCAAGCGTTCAGATAGTGGAGAGCGGTGCGAAGTAAAGATAACGATCTAGGAACAGGCTAACTCCAGGCCTTTTCCTTACTGCCTTGACATTAATAAAACGCGGTACGAATCATGAATATAACAAAACGCACTAAAATCATGGGTTGCACGTGACGTCACCAAAAATCAAACTAAGAAACTATCGTTTCTTCTGAGTTTCTACTTTCATGAGGTATTACAGTACCTAAACACCTTTACATAAACAAATTTTTGGTTCGAAAGGGTTCTTTGTTTTGCGAGAGAGGACGCTTGAGTTTGCAGGATTTTGCGTGACGCGGCATTTAGCTGGCGGCCGGGAAAGCTCTTATGTGGGTTAAAAACATTACCGATTTTGGGAGATTTTGCAATCTAAACATTCCCTGTCTCAGAATAAATATTACTGTAATCTTTAAGAGTTCCTCAAGCGAAGAATTCACGCATTAGTAGGAAAACTCGACAACAGTTGTTTCTGTTGGTATCCGGCGGCCATATTGGTGTTCCTGAAAGGGACACCAACATGGCGTTCCCATACAAAGCTTTATAAATTTAGGTAGACCGTTTTTCCCAATATCTCGCATTTGAAATATTTCACAGACCTGATTCTTGGCAATGGTTTTTGTATATTTATCTTTTTTCATTTCGCAGATTCTAGTCCTTCTGTATTGAATGGTTTGCATTTTTATTTTTCATTGCGTGACAGTGCAAGCCGAGATTAGGGAGCCATTCAGTGGTGCGCAGCAGAGTGAAAAAGTTGGAATACACATTCTTCTGTGACACCATGCCATACGATTGCACTTTGATTGTCAAAGTTACAAGGATCGTCAGGCCAGGGAAGATACAATCGAAACCCGTAGTTATTTGTCCCACGTACACCGGCTCTTTCCGCAAGCATTCCAACGTAAACATCGTCAATTTTAAACGGCTTTACAACTTGATATAAGTTTACAAACGAATGGACTACATCGAAGGAGAGGACAAATCCAAACCCTGGGCAGTAATCGGGGTAGAAGTCGGGTTCATACTCTTCTTTGGTCACTTCCCATTTGTCTCCTTTATATCTTCTCACTGGAAGTTTTTGCCAGAGCAATCCCATGTACAATTTATATTTAGGCATGCTAGGATTAGTTAAATTGGAAAGTAAAGCGCTCATGTTCACAAAAACATCGTCATCTACTTTTAGAAGAAAAGAGAAATTACAATATCTGGAAGCCCATTCAAAACCCATTTGTATCTTTAGGGTTTGATTCCAATAATCGTCAAAGTAATCTGCTCGAATAAGATCTCCGAAGGCGTCACCTTCGTGTAGCAGCGATTCCGACAGGTTGCGGTCTCGCGTTTGAGCAACAAGAAAATATGTCTTCCACCAAGGTTTCGTAGAATTCTCAGCCCCCCAAGTTAAACGGATGCCTCTCCTCCTTCCGACGTTAGATGGAGCAGAAGAGACCAGAATAAGCAGGAAGTAGTCTTTCAAACAAATACTTGTTGTAATCAGAGTTGTATGATGTTTATTAGCGTGTGCAGAGGCCAGATTATCGTATTGCCTGTGATGTTCGTAGGAAAAAGAGGCGACGGTCAGATTTGTCTTGGCAATTAAACTTGACTTGTTTTCTTCAACGTGCGGGGAGCGCTCGAGTCCTTGCTCGAAAGGACTGTCTAGTTCAATCGGCACTTTCAACATATCAACAGAATAACTGACGGTTTTGGATCGAAACGTGGCCTTCCACCCAAAATATCCAAATGATGCAACAACGAAGACGAAGCACATGGATCCTCTGAAGAAAACTCGTCGGCTGCGCATATTTGATTTTTGCACTTACAACGTTTGAATCCGTCTCCTGTCCGACGAAAAAGAATTTTTACGTGTTACCGAATCAACAGAGCGAAGCTTTTCAACTCGTTCCACACCGTAATTTCGCACGCAAAAAATAGATGCTTTGAGAATATAAATTATTTAATGCTTTCAATACTGGAGGTATTCTTCCGGGTTCCCTGAGGTGAAATACCTTGCAAGTTTGCCGCATAAACACCCGGGGGCCCGGGCATAATCATAACAACTTTCTTTCTACCAGACATGTTTCGACCGTACTTCCATCATCTTCAGTGTTACATATTTTGAAATCGCCGTTGAATTTAAATCGCGCGCGACGTTACAAGTTTGGGAACGAAGACGCCATTATCAAAGATATCAGAAAACAGTCTTCACACTGTATTTAAATAAACAAAGATAACTAGTAATAGTTGACACTACAGCTGCCCCCGTTATGTATATTGTCGGTCAATAGTGTTCTTGCTGGTTGTGTAGCTCTTTGAAATATACCGATTCATAATGAAGATTTTCATACATATTCCATACAATAGGTGAGATAAATACAGGAAACGCAAGGTTCCATGCACAGTTTCAGCTCGATTTACACAGCTTTGATCAAAACATTCTCAGTTTCGAGAATAGTTTATTCTAAACCATAAGAAAAGATTTAATTAGAAGTTGAATTTTTCGCTATTTCTCTTTCCCTTTTTACATTCAGTTCATTTTATTTGCTGGAAAGTAAGCCTTAGAAATTAAAAGGACGTTTGATCGATTCACGCTAGCCCATTCGAGTCTTATTTGAAACTTTATAACGGAAGGACATCTGTGAGCAGGGAACAAGTCAGCACAGAATTTGATTGTCGGCAAATTTCTGTAAATGTCCATCAATCTACTAGTGCCTGGTAATAGCCGTTGTTCACTCGTCTTGCTTGTTTGGGGCTGAGTCTTATTCCGGTCAAAGAGAGAGAAAGAGTGTCTGGCATACCCTGGTCCCAGAGGTTTTTCTTGATTTTTCTTCGCGACAGAGATCAAGAGCAAGCCACGAAGCGGCGACAACAAGTCGCAAAAGCGACGAGGAGAGAGAGAAACACCTCTGGTTACCTTGGCCTCAAATCTCACTTTCATGCAGACGACAGGGTCAGGATCTGACCCTCGAGCGTTGATTGGTTGATATTTTTCCAAACACGTAAACCAATTTGATTGGCTCGTTTAATTGTAACTACCGAGGGGACGCTGAGTATTTTCACACCTCATTTTGCCTCTCTCTACCAGGGAAGAAAATTGTTTGTATGCTGCACTCACAATAACATTTGCACGCGACCAGGGCACGTAAAGGCACGCCATATTTCGAGATTTTGACATGGATGTTGTTCCTGAAAGAGTATTCGAAGAAATTTTGACCTCGGTACTTGATGAGCGCTTTCCTGAGTCTCACTGAGCAACAAAAGAAAGCTTTGTTCGCCGCGTTGAGTCGAAAGGATGTGTTCACCATTTTATCAACCGGACATGGAAAGTATATAATATTTCAATCGTTACCTGATGTTTGCAAGTACCTTTCCTTAAGAGGCTACTCATACCCTCGCCATGCAATAATTTTGGTTGTCTGCCCTCTCAAGTCTCTTGTGGACTCGCATATCCGTAACTGCGAAACCGTGGCGTCTCAGCAACCAGTTTGAGCAGTCCAGACGTTGACGACCAGAATCTCGTGTCTC